GGAACACAGCGGGCGGGTTCGTGTCTCCACCGGCGCGATTCAAAGGAATACAGAACTTCTACCAGTCAGGATGAGAAGTATCTCTGTTGACATTTTATTTTTTTCTCCCTTGACTGCTTTATCTTCAGGTGTCGGAGGATGGTGGTTGTCATTTCAGATGATTACCTGGAAAGCGATGAATGTGATTTTCAGACCAAATTTGCTCTTAGTCTTTCCCCAGGTAAGATCTCACAAATATCCCATCTAAAATTGCATATCAACAGTGTAATTGTTATTACAGTAACACCTCCAGCGGAGATCAGCGCTGTACTGTTGGGCACTGCACAAATGCAGAATGAGGGGTAGCCTCGGATGTGGCGAAACAGATTAGATAAATACAGGCAAGAAAGGAGAAAATAAATAACTGATAGTTACAGAACCGGTCACTCGGTCTCAGACCTGGGTTCTCACCACTGACCTACGTTTCACGTGTGTGAAAGTCCGCCCAGGCTTGCCCTTCACTAAGCAAACAGAGATTTATCGCTATTAGAAGCAGCCGTTAAAACGAACGGTGGCTTTGTCATTTTGTGCTGTGGGCAGGGATCTGGACTTGGTTCCTTGCCCTGCCGTTGACCTCCTGCGTGACCGCGAGCGAGCAGCTTAGCTGTCTGTGCTGCAGGGCTCACGCTGCCTGCTCCGGAGACGCTGTGGCTGCACGTCAGGCTTTGAAGGGCTTTAAGATCCACACAGGAAATACGTTACTAAAGAGAAAAGTAGTATAGTATATTCAGGGTGTGAGTAAATGGGGTAGCAGGTGATGAACGTGCAGCTTTTTGCAGAGATCCTTGAGTATTGTGGATAGGTAAACAAAATATGGAATGAATGTTCAACTTGCATTGGAAAAATCTGTTACGTATTTTGTTCTGAATTGAAAAGCCGTCAGTTTACTTCTGTCAGGTTTGTTCAGATTGCTTTTCTCTAACCACTAGTTATCCTACGCTTCTGTGTGTTGCTGGGGAGTAAGTGCAGCACAGCCTAATAGCGTGGAGGGTATGTAATACGTGTAGGAGTGTCTGCATGTGAAGCCTCTTCTCTAGATGAGGTGTCTGACATGGTGTTACAGGGGACGTGCCAGAGGTTAAACTGGAAACCAGTGGCAGAGCTGGGAATTAGCTCCATCTTCCCCGATGCAAGAATTTCATATGACGGCCGTTAATCCATTGAACACCCCTAGCACATTGCATCAGCCCCCAGTCATCAAGATTTGTAGCAAAGCCCTTTTAGTTCTTCACCAGTTTTTTGTTGGCATCGTAGCTTTCACTAGAACAACAGAAATGCCCGTCTGTAGTGACCTGACCTCTGCCAGTAAAAACCTGCGTGTAAGTACAGGCTTACAGAAATCACAGAGTTACTTGAGACACAGAAGGGTTTGGTGGCAAGTTCTGGGAGCTTCGAGGATTACGTGAGCATGTGCTGCAGTTACAAAATCTTGGTTTCTTGCCTAATTCAGGTCTCGGTGTCATCACTTGCACTGGGCAGCGTAGCTTAGCTGGTAGCTGGTGTCCCTATGGAGAATGATAAGTTCCTCTTTAGAAGAGCTGCTCCTTCAAGCGGCAGCAGTCACAGGGAAAGTTGTCTGAGACTGTGCATGCCTCAAAAAACGCAGTTCAGAAAAAGCAGGCCAACGGCATCCTGGCTTGTATCAGGAATGGCATGGCCAGCAGGACCAGGGAGGTGACAGTGCCCCTGTACTCTGCACTGGTGAGGCCGCACCTTGAGTGCTGTGTTCAATTTTGGGCCCCTCACTACCAGAAGGACATCGAGGTGCTGGAGCGTGGCCAGAGAAGGGCAACGAAGCTGGTGAAGGGTCTGGAGCACAAGGCTGGTGAGGAGCAGCTGAGGGAGCTGGGGTTGTTTAGTCTGGAGAAGAGGAGGCTGAGGGGAGACCTCATTGCTCTCTACAACTGCCTGAAAGGAGGCTGTAGCGAGGCGGGGGTCAGTGTCTTCTCCCAAGTAACAAGGGATAGGACGAGAGGAAACGGCCTCAAGCTGCGCCAGGGCAGGTTTAGGTTGGATATTAGGAAAAACTCATGGTTTAGGTGGGCTTGGCAGTGCTGGGTTAACGGTTGGACTGGATGATTTTAAGGGTCTTTTCCAGCCTAAACGATTCTATGGTTCTATGTTAGCGGAGTGATTCCTCGCAGCCCCTTGGAATCGGCGGGTACTGTCTGCAGCCTGAGAGAATCAGGGTAGGAGGACAAAGAACTGGAGATAACCCAGCAAAGCTGACCATCTAGAAGCAGCTTAGTCTTTTGATTTTCTCTTCCTACACACCTGGAAGTAGTCGGGACTGTATACTCCCGTTTGCGTTCCACAAAAAACTGCGCTGTGTTCTTTTATGTCTGCAGTTCGTTAGGCCTTAATCGCTCCCATCAGCGCAGGCTGCCCTACGCGTGCGAGATGGGGCCCTGCTCTGTATTTGAGTGAAATGTTCTCAGCGGAGGGCTTGGGACCGAGAACCTTGCTCTCCAGGGTGAGAGCTAGTTACACGATAATGCGATGACACAAAATCAGGAGCAAACCTGGATCTCGTGATGCGCGAGCTGCTGCGGGGACAAAATGGGTAGAGGATCTGGCTGTGGCTCTGTGTAACCCTCTGCCTGTCTGACCTGTCTTTCAGGCGCTCGTCTCAAACGGCTGATTCCAGTCAAGTGCAAAACCATGAAGAACGAGTTTCCAAGTATCTTACGGTTCATTACCATTTGCGATTACACCAATCCTTGCACCAAAAAGTGGTTCTGGACGAGACTGGCAAAATCCCTCATGCTGCCGTGATGCGAAGTCATGAGAGCTAGGTGCTCTTTTGTAATCTATCCCGGCTGGGCCTTCGGACCGCGGTGTTGTTCGCGCGGGGTCTTTTACCGCTTCAGAACCTGGATGCTTGCAATCGGTGTTCGGAGCCTGCGACCGGGAGCAAAGAATTTTTGTCTAGCACTTTTTATAACTCGGAAGGGGAAATAAAGCAACTGTGTAGAGGTTCCTGCTCGAGTCAGCGCGCAACAGCATCCAGCACTTTGCGTAATAAGCACTGTCACTGAAAATATAGAAAATATACATTTAAAGACTGAGTGTCTTAATACAAGAAGGCTCTATTGTAAGCATTTAATAAGATCTCAGAGCCTCAGACTACAGGCTGTCTTAAACAAATGTTTCCTATTATTTTAAAAGCTGTTTAATGGCTATAGTAACGTCTAGGGTTGGTGGATTTTTTTTAAATTCCAGCGAAATCCCACGGCTGCCTGGTGATCTGCGGGAGCTGAGGTTTCAGACTCCGTTTCCTGCTTTGTGCACGGGCAGTGCCACGAGAGTGACGGAGCCTGGCAGCCGCGTCGGGGCCGGTGTCCTCTGCCCTGCGCCGCAGCCCTGCTGCCGGGCAGCACGGGGGAACGCGTGTGGGCTCTCCCCAGCCCGCGCTCGTTCTGAGGGCAGGCCGTCTCCTTCGGTCCTTGTTTTGAGAAAAGCAGAAGCATATTTTAATTGTTAAAGCACTGCAAAGAAATGAACGGGTCTCCCAGTATTCTTAGCAATATCTGCAAAATTAGAGCAATTATCCTTGTAATTATAACTAATGCAGAATTACCGAGCTTGGTTTATTTTCTGGGGATGTTGTCCTCCTTCAGTTATATTGCAATATTCCTGCCCCGTGCTCATAGAACCATAGAATCGTTAAGGTTGGAAAAGACCCTTAAGATCATTGAGTCCAACCGTTAACCCAGCACTGCCAAGGTCACCACTAAACCATGGCCCTAAGCACCACATCTACCTGGCTTTTAAATACCTCCAGGGATGGGGCCTCAACCCCTTCCCTGGGCAGCCTGTGCCAGTGCCTGACCGCCCTTTTGGTGAAGAAGTTTTCCTAATATCCAACCTAAACATCCCCTGGCGCAGCTTGAGGCCGTTCCCTCTCGTCCTCTCGTCATTTACAAGGTAAATCCCTTGTCACCAGTATTTTCTGAGGCAGTCCCTCAGATTTGCTGCAAGTGGTTATTTTTTTGCTCGTTGAAAGCAAGAAATGTCAGGAAGGACACACTCTCGTACCATGGTGGTCACGTCTGTCTCTGTTCATTTGATTAAGTGACCTTCTACCAGCATTTTAGAAATTCAGTCTTAAAAATATGTATTTTCAGTGAAATTCCTTACTACCCGAAGTGCAGGATGCTGTTGCTCAGTGACTTGCGCAGGAACAGAGCTGTGCGCCTGAGTGGGTCCAGATCGTAAACTGCGTCACCTTGAAGAGCCTTCCAAGAGACATCAGCTTTTGGGGTGCCTCAAAGGTACAGGGATAAATATTGAATAAAGAGTGTATTAAATTATCGATTGGGCTGTTGAAAATATAAAGGCTGATGTTACGTTAATAGGAAAGAGCGTATTTTAATAACCCCCATGCTCATTAAGCTGTTTCTGTGACTGAGGCTGGGAGCAACATTGATACTGCTGTGCTCGTTTGACTTAGCCTTGAATCCTGCAGCGGCCAGCGGATCCCATCAGTGCTTGGGGTGAGGGGCGAGAGTTCTGCCCAGAGCAGCGTTTTAAAGCGACCCCTTGGGGTATCAAACAGGTTCACAGTAAATATTTACTTTCCAAATTGGGAAGAGAAGAATCTTGCTTATGTATCTGCAGCTGCTTCAGCTCTGCCACTTCGTTCATTACTTCAGCCACTGACTTATGTTGATTTTATGGCTTAATGTTTTACTAGTTTACGTTTTTAAGGTTGCATCTGGATTTGATTTTTTAAATTTTTTTTAGGATTTGTTTTAAAGCATTACCAGGGCCGAGGTGCAGACAGAAACGTGTGCTCCTGCCTCTTCCCCACCCGCCCTGTCCGTGAACGGTCCCTTACCAGGGAGTGCTGGGAAGTCCTCCCCGCGCGCCGCTGCTGGTTCCTCCTGGCTGGGAGCAGCCAGCCCTTGTCCTGAGCGCGGTGAAGCTCGTTCACGCACCTCACGTTAGCGTCAGGGGCCGTTTTTAGATAGGCCCGCGAGCTGGGTGTTTTTCAGTCCCTCCTACAAATACAACTGCTGCCATCGTGCCGAGGTGACGTTTGCATCTCTCTTGCTAGAAAAAGTGAGAAGTCTGTGGGCATGGGAGGAGAAAAGTTAAGCTGATGATGGGTTTCTAAATAGTTCGTCTTCATGTCCTACGGCCCTCCGGCCTCTCCTGCAGAAGCAGAGACAGCTGCTTGCCTCAGGGTTTCTGCATAATCGTCCAGTGTTAATTATAGAAGAGTTTCTGGAGGCTGCTCGATCCCCAGGCGCTCCTGGGGCTTGGTGAATTCTCATACGCGGAGTGTCTATAAACATTAATTATGGGTCATTACTCGCAGGACCAAACCAGATTTCTCTCGTTTCGAGAGCTGGAAGGACTCTGGTAACCCATTAGGGCGAGCAGAGGCAGAGGAGGCTGCGCTGCAGACGCTAGAGGGAGGCAATGGCCCACGCTGGCCCCCTGCGAGGGCTCCTGCCCTGGGTGGGATGGAGGGGAGGCCCCGGGGTGGAGAAAAGAGGAGTGGGTTTTCTTCCTTGCGCCCTCTTCTAAGGAGGCTATGCCACAATCAGCGAGAGTTTTGGCAAATTGAACCTTGTGCGGCATCTTCCGCGCGAGGCCGGACGGCTGGTTTGGGACTTGGGCTGTTGCAAACAAGGAAAAAAAAGAATAGCAGCAAAAATAATAATGGTCAGCTTTGGAGGAGGTGATCTGGTGATGGCTGAAGAGGGAAAGTGCTGCTTCTGCAAGGGAAAGACAGCTGAATTTCTAAATCTTCTGACTTCCAGTAGATAAATGCAATATTCCAAATAATTGTGAAAGATGGCAGTGCTTCGGCGAGACCTCGCTGTCACCCAGCGCTCTGCGCCGTGGCCCTTCGGGCTGCCTGGCCGGGATGCCGGCAGGTATTGCTGCTTTCCTACAGCCTGATACAATTGTCTTGGAGGCCAAAATGATTATTTGCGGGTAAAGTAAGGTAACAGCCCGAAAACATAAAACGTGTGCTTTAAATAGGTATTCCCTTCGATGTAAAAAACAGACTTGATGCACTTCTGACATTTTCATATCTGTCTTGTCACGGTGACTTAATGAAGTGTGACATCTGTGAAGGATATAAAATCTAGTTACTGTGAGCACATTTCCGTGGCAGTTGTGGTTCTCCTCCCCTCTTTCACGCTCAGTGGAAGGTCAAAATTTTGAACACCTTTAAAGAAGGGATTTACAAAATTGTGGTATTTTTTTCCATTTTGTTTCTTTCCCTCACTGAAATTGTCCTAGGTGAATCTGTTAGTACCAAATCATTTATTTTTATATATATACATGTATATTTATATTACTTTCTATCCTGATACAAATCTTTGGAAAAGCATATGTGTTTTGTAGCCATTCTGAAAATAGTCAACGATTTTGTGGTTTTACCCTCCTCAGAAAAACAAACTTTTGCTACTTGTGAAAACATTTTAGAATAAAGAATGAAAACCCAGCAGGGTGAATCTCCTTCTTGGGCATCAGCAAATAAATACTAGGTCTCAAAATGAAGGGAGAAATCATAGGGGCTAGTTTGGTTGTGTTTTCTTGTTGTGCCTAAACAGCTTCCTCAGAGGAGGTTTTTGGCCATGCCTGGAAGAGGGAGGGGTAGAGTTGTGTCACGTCAGGAGGAAAATTATCAAGGAATCGCGCTTCAAACACGTGTGGTTCTTCTCCAGGTCTCGTTTTTGGCCTTGCAGTCTGTGTCGGTCGCTGTGCTGGACCTGCTTCGGCCCTGGTACCCAGCAGGCCGGAGGGGACGGAGCCAGGGCTCCCGCTGTCCGTCCCCCGCAAGCAGGGACGCTGGATGCGTAGCTCCTACTCCGCATCCGTTCTGGAGGCCCCGGCAGGGGATATACCGCAGCGCGGCGATCCGGAGGATTTTGCCAGCTTTATTTCCTTTGGCTCGGAGTCAGTCCAAGACAGGGAAATAACTGACAAACCCAGCAGCTGTCAGGCCAAGGCCCTGCCACAGGCAAAGACGAGGGATCGCTCCATCACACGGACGTGTTGGTTGGAAGGAATTTCTGGAGGTCAAGGACGAGCTGCACTTGACAACAGCGGAGGCTGTACGCTAAGCCACTTGCAGGACAATATTCCCTACAAAGGATATGAAGTCATGCCTTTGGTATGGCTCCTCCGAGTGAACGTACGCACGGTGATATGGAAACCGTCTCTGAATTCATTATTCTAGATCGAAATTGCCGGCAAGAGCGGCCCGCCAGGAGAGTCCTGCTCCCAGACGTGCCGGCGGCCCATCGCCTCCAGCGCGGCTTTACCCCCCTCGCCCCTTTGGGTGGTTTTGAGCACTTAATGATTTTTGCCTGTGTTTGGCAGTAGCTCAGACTCGGGGGTCAGGGGGTCCAGCTGCGGTAGCTCGCTCTAGCTGTGATTCCTCTCATGCCAGAAGAAATATTCCCAGTCCTCTATTTCATTCCAATGCAGTCGGTGCCATTTCCTCGTTTACCGGAGGACAGCGTTTACCTGGTGAAATTCGGTAACTGCTGCAGAATGCTCTAAGCTTCAGAGGTGGAGGGTGAGAGAGGAAATACTGCCCCGTGACGGATCAAATTCTGTTCTTCGTTACGCTGACGTGAAAAGCGTTGCTTTAGCATGACTGAGGCGCTGCTTGGTCCAGAGGGCACGTTTACTGGAAAAAAATTAGCGTAGGGAAGAAAATGTAATTGTGCATAAAAATGGCTGGGGAAATGTTGCTTTTGCATCCTGGAAACGTATTTTAATAAGGCAATAAAAAGAAACAAACCCTACAAGGTTCACATTACTGGAAAACAGGCGAATAGAGCTTATTAAAAAGCACCTCTGTCAGACTGATTGGGGTTTTACCAGACAACAAGACACGCGCTGCGTACAAGTATTTCTCTAAAGGTAATTTTCTCTAGGTGATGTTACAGCCATCTTTGGTTCAGCTGATCCCCACCAGGGTTTTGGGATGACTTTGAACCTGACACAACCTCTCGAAAAGCACTATCAAGCCCCGCCTGGAAAACTTGTTTATTTTGTAGCAAAAAAATGTGTATTTTGTGCAGTCAGGAGAATGGATATTGTTGGATCCACTCTGGGGCTGGGCTGCTCTGCAAAGGTTTAATTAATTGAAGGTGTATTTAAGTGTTAAGCTGTTCCAAAGTCTGATTTACAAACAATGCATTTCTGTCCCTGTAGCAGAGCCCGGCTTAGCAACGCGCCTCTCCCGCCTCCCGTTTCTGCTGACAAAGCTGCCCGTGCCGTGGCCGAGGTCGGGGCGGCCCGTGCCCGCCGGACAGCCGTTTCTTCTTGCTCGGCTGGGTAAGATGAATTCCGCAAAGGCACGGCGCGGTATCCCGTGCTGCGTGGGACGCATCCCTTCGGTTCGGAGCGTGAACGTTTCATCAGCCGCACCGAGGGGCTTCGATTCCAGTTTCCCCAGTTTTAAGCTTGCTTAGGTTGGGTTGTGGTGGGGCTGGACTGGAAGGAGGGAACGAACACGGTCTGCGTCTGTGAAACACTTCACTACGGCTCTCTACAAAAGGTTGCTTGGAACTTTTTTTCCTCCCCCTGTTTCACGCCCGCCTTCCCGCTGCCCTGCGGAGCGGGGACAGCCGAGCGCGGTGGCTGGGGCTGAGCCTGGGGACAGCACGGTTGCTCCGTGCTGCGCATCCAAGCCTCCCCTTCCCAGCGAACGCGGAGCCCCCCAGGGTGAGGAGGCAGGTGGCGGATGGCTGGAAGCACGGAGGCACTGGGAGGAACGTGCCAGGGTTTCCCCAACAGCCGAGCATCCAGACTCTCCCCGGACCGGATAGATTTTGTACGGCCTTACCACGCATTCACGCGGGGAAAGAGCACAGCAGCGTGCCAGGCTGGGTGCCAGCCGGCGGGGGAAAGGATCAGCGGGTCCTGCTGGCTCGTTTCACCTGCGGCGAGGGAGCTGGAGGGCTCTGCAGAGGAGGCGGCAGGCGAGACGGTGGGAGGAGGAGGAGGAGAAGCCTTGCTCCAAGCCCAGTGAGAACGTGCGGGCTCAACGCCATGAATCTTGTCCAGTCTGTTAATGAAATCAGAGTCACAAGGTGATGAACCAGGTCTTATCCCCTGTTTAGGGTGCTAAAGTTAGGAACAGGACGGACTCACGGGAAATACGCTCAGGCAAATGTGGGGGTTACGATGAAGTGAACTTTCACAAAGGTTTTGCAGCATTTTTCTGGCTCAAATCTTCAGCGATGTTCGCCTGCTGTTCGTGTCAGCAGAACTAAACGTAAGAGCCGTAAGTCCTAAGGTGCTTAACTGCTTGCGTGCCAGTTTGCGATCTGTTGCCTCAGAAACAAAAAACACCGTTCGGGAGGGGAAAACTGGGTGAGCAAACCTGAAGGTCCACGTGCCAGCCCCCGTCCTGCCGGAGCCACGGCGGACGCTGGGGACTGCTTCACAGCAACGTTTTCAAAAGCGTTCAGGAATCCGGGTGGCTGATGTAAAACTACTGAATCGCGGAAGATTTAGTGTTTGATTTTTGGCAGCGCTTGGCAGACAGCCCCAACTGCAATACACGTGGAAATGAGATTTAAAGTGCTTTGAGCAGAGGCCTAAAATGGACATTGGCCTTAAAATGTCAGTGTCTCAGCATCTCTAAAACCTCACACGGGCATGCAAAGAACATCATTTTCCACTAAAGCAAAGGGCTTTTGAGATCTTTAGAAAGAAAAGCAAAGAAGAGAAGCATCATGTTTTTTTACTCTATTTAGTCTAAAAATGAATATTCCCTGTTTTTCCCAACAGTTATTCTTTCGCCTCCTTGGTGACTTAGCCTCTCCTAGCACGGCGTCTGGCATCTGCTTAGCCGCATTGTTTTAGCGCGCATCGGGAATGGAAGCACTTAAGATTTTCTCTCTGAGCTCTCGGAAATCTCGCCTCATCAGCATGCTGCTGTCGGCAGACGGGTTTTTCTTCAGCTCCAAGACATGCATATTGATCAGTCATTTTCTTTTGTTACCTAGCATCCTGTCATCGATTTTAATTGTTCGGTATGGAAGAGGAAGCATTCAGTACACGTAGAATTACCAACTATGAAATTTTGCTTTCCGCACCTTTCGCCAGCCGGTGCCCGCAGCTAAGCCCTTAGGAGCCGCGGATCTCCCTCTCTCAGCTAGCAATCTGCACTAATTATGCAGCAGGCAATTTTTCTCTATTAAATCAATTTCTGATTCTCTGTGACAGCTTTCCCTGCCGCATGATTTCACACTTCCGCAGTTTGTTTCTGAGGTGCCATGCGGGTTTTTTTTTTCTTTCAAAGGGGGGGTGGTGGGAATCCATTTAACTCGCAGATACCTTGCTCATGTCTTCCCAGCTCCCCTTTCCTGCTGCTGTCCTTAAGAGATTTGTACGACTCGGGTGACTCCTAGTGCGTCTCCTTCGCTTGTGGCTCCTCTCGGGCTCCCTCATCAGCCCACAGGGCTGCTCCGGGGCTGTTCCGTGAAGCTTCCTCTCCTGCTGCTGAAGTGGGACGGCTTCTGCATGATGAAACTGCAGCTTGGTCCTCTATCTGAGAGAGAGATGAATCTTCCCTTCCCCACGGTGCAAAATATCACAGCTGGGAGCTGGTGCGATTCATTAACTCTTCTTCTTCCTGCAAAATATCTTCTTAGACTGAGATTGTTCCCATCTTTTGAAAACATTCCTGCACTCTCAGAGGCCTTTCATTACAAATATTTCCTGAAGGCTCTGTACGTAAGGACCTTGGTGTCCTCCTACTGTCTCTCTGATTCTAGGTTTTCCTTTACTTTAGATACACAAAAGGGATCCTATTTTTAGCAGCCAGCAGTCAGTGACACAGGAATTCATGAGTAGGAAGGAAAGGATGTGAACTATCCAAATAGGTTTTTTTTTTTCAAATGCGATCTATTTACATTCCTATCGCCATAGTAATCAGCTATGAGTCACTGTTACACTGAACT